CAAGACCCTCAGTTGAAGCAACCCGTTGGGCACCGGATTTGGTGATAAAGTTCTCATCTGTGCATGATAGGCCAGAGAGCCAGTAAAGTACCTAAAAGCCTCATTAACAGTGCATCCAGTTATAAATAAATGTTAGGTATTGGGTAAAAACTTATGGAACAAAAAAAAAGATCTTCCCCAGCTCAAAATCAACTGTAAGGTTCTGTTCATTATTATTGATAACATGAAGTTTGTAAAACAGGATGACTCATACTGTAGTTATTCAACAAAACATAACCGGATAACCCTATGTCGGTCGAATGGCTTTCCCAAATCATGCGAAAATCGATTTCTCAGCACAGGAAAGCAACAATAGAAGTTAGATAATACTCCGTAGTACTAATAATTGCCATTTGAGGAGCTCTATCACATCGGAAAATGGAAGACTTACAGGGAATTTGTGGGAAGGGGAAGACGAAGGAGGGAAGTAGATGTGGAATGTCATGGAGCAGCCAAGGGTTGGGCTGTAGTGCTTGTATCTCTTATTGTAACCCCCAAACATCTTCGTGCTGCTGACTTCTGTGGGTTTCGTCTCCATCCTTGCCGGCGAATGCAGTGGCCGCCGATAGAATTTTTTTTGGGTGCAACTGGGAAGCGATACTATCGTTTACTCCGGAACACTACAATCGTCTATTCTATTCCACTCTTTTTTTTCTTTGTTTCAGGGTTAAGCAAGTTAACCAGACCGACCATTAAACCGAAAACCGAATCCTAAAGTAACCGCTAAATTCGTTTTAGTTTCGATTTTGCACAATAAAAAATTCAGTTTGTTCCGAGTACTTCGGTTTGGTATCGGTTTTGGCCTTTTGGGTATTGGTTTATTTGGTTAACCGAATAATCGATATATATGCTTTGTTTGGGTAAACCGGCATATATGTTTACTACTTCATCTGTTCACCACAGATCTTTCCAGACACTATTTACATGGTCAAACTTTACTCACTTTGTTTGCTCATTTTTACTAGTCGTTTCGTAAAATAATATAGTCTTGTCACCTCTAATTTTGTAGAACTTTTCATGTAGTTTATTACTATATAAATTTTATTTTAAAATTTTACTCCTATAAACAATTAAATTGAATTGAAAATAAAGTCGGTCAAGCCTCATAACGCGTAATGGGAAGATCTTAGGTGGACGGAGGGAATAATTAATAGTATCAATTTTTTAAAGCCCAATAGGAATTTGGCCCAATGACAGTCAACCCACTCCATTATTTAAAAGACTAAGGCTCCGTTTGGTACACAGAATTCAAACGATGGAATTGGAATTGAAGACTTCAATTCCAATTCTGGTGTTTGGTAGCACAAAAATTATGTGGATTTGGAATTGATAGTGCAAAAAATGAATGGGAATTAGTGAATTCAATTCTATGAAATTGAATCCTATGAAATTTTAATTCCAATTCAATTCCGATTCCATCAATTCTGTGTACCAAACGGACCCTAAAACCAATTGGGAGTTACTATAGCGTACTCCACTACTCCTTGCGATTGGGATTTGGGATTTCTAATTTTAGGTCTTGGTCGCTACTCCACCTACTCGCGATTCACGAAGCTTCTGCCTTCTGCAGTTCACCGATTGAGAGTCCAAGCTTCTGCTATTCAGCCAATTCTGCCTTCTGCAGTTCACCTCTTTGACTCTTTGTTCTTCCCTTCTTCTTTGTAAAGTAATAGAGTAAGGTTTTGTTGTCTTTTCTTTTGCAAATTGGTCTGAATTTTTACCACTTTTCCTTGGCCTTTAATTTATTCATAATTACACTATGTTGATGTGGAAAAAGAAGCCTCACTCTCGTTTAACTCAATCGGCTTCAATGTTTTTTTGGTTTCCCATTTGCGAATTGCTACAAAATTGTTCTTCATTCATTCGCTGGTTATATTATCCCATAAAAGTTCACGTTATATTTTTTTGTTTGGGTGCTGTGCAATTTGGTTTTTAATAACCGACCAAAACCGATTCGGTTTAATCGATTTCAATTTGTCAGTTATTCAAATTTACGGGTTTGGTTTCAGTTAGTTTTTTTATACCCAAAAACATTTCGGTTAGTTAAGTTTTGACCCAAAACTGACCGAACCGAACCGATGCTCACCCTTACTTTTTTTTATTACGGACTAATTAAATTATTTTTATTTAATCAAATCACATCAGATTTTTTCTATAGTCAAATCATATCAGATTTGCTTTTGAAAAAAATCATATCAGATTTATTCACATAATAAATTCAAATCAGATAATACCAGAATGTATTACTAAATAAATAGTGTTAATAATAATAAAGATGGAAGTGATTGTTTTAGGATAGTCGCTAAAAAGTAGAGAAACAGATCTTCGTTGCATGAATACAAGTTTGGGAGTACGTTTACTTAGTTTTTTTATGGAGAGAGTGTATGTGATTGAAGCAGAGACTAAGAGTTTCTCTTTTCTCCTTGTGGGTCAGTCTCTGCTTCTCTATCATTTTTGATGCTCTCGAACTTTATAGGAAAATAGAAAAATGCAACTTTCCCATATATATATATATATATATATATATATATATATATATATAGCTACATAAGAATCATTTTTCACTAATCTATAAATTAATAAAATAAAATTAGAATAAAATCTAAAGAACAAATCATGATGCATATATCGCTCATCACAACATATCACAGATTCACAAAGCGTCTCCTAGGGGTGTGCATTATTTGGTCCGAACCCGGACCGACCCGAAACCCGGCCAAAACCGGACCAGACCGGTCCGGACCGGTCCTTATTCGGTCCGGTCTTCGGTCCTCACATTTTCCTTATTTGGGTTCCGGTCCAGTCCGGTCCGGTCCACCTTGTTTCGGTCCGGACCGGTGGACCGGTTACATTTTATTTTTTTTAAATATTTGTTTTTTTATATAGTTTTCTAATATAGTTTTAAAGTTTTTTCTTATACTTAAAATTAATTTAACTTTAGTACTAAAAGTTTTTAAAATATTTTGATTTTATTATTTAATATAATTTTTTTAATATATTCCAATTCAAAATAAGACATTAATTCTAATGATATTTAAATATTTTTAACATGAAAAGTGTGAAAAAGTAAACATTATCTTTACATAAGAGATATAATGCATTTCAAATTAATGTATCAATACTATAACCTAAGTTTGTACTTTATCAGTAATAAAACTCCAATACACTAAAAAATATTGAAAACAATCTTATGAACAAAAATAGTAAAAAAGTGTATCTGTCTATCAAAAAAACCAAAAACACAAAAAAAATATTACAAAAAAGTAAAAACATAGTATGAAGAAGAATATTCTATATGTAAAATAAAAATTACAAACAAATTTTATGCAATATGGATGAAGGATATATATTTTATTTAAAGTTTTAAAAAAATAAAAACAACAATGTTTGAAAATGTGTAGTGTATGTTACACATGAAAAATTAATTGTAGTAATATTTTTTTTTACAATTGAAAACTTTAAATTAAATAAATAAAACCAAATATTAAAAAAATTACATTTATTCGGTCTCGTCCCGGGTTTTACAAGTCCGGTCCCGGGCCGGTCCTTACCTTAAGCAGTCCGGTCTTCGGTCCACAAAGTTCCTCTTATTCGGTCCCGGTCCGGTCCCGATTCGGTCCGGTCCGGTCCGGGTTTGACCCGATGAACACCCCTAGCGTCTCCCCAAGATAAATTTGAAAAAAGGGATAAATTAAATACATTTAGTTGAATTTGTATATCCTACTTTAAAATATAAGCAGAAGATAATATCATAATTTTATATTCAATATTAGTGTTGTTATGTAGATCTCGACGAGAGGTTTCTTATGACATATTATTTGTCAAGAATGGACTTATATACAAAAATTTATAAATATACTACGTAATAGACATTGTAACACAATAATTAAATGAAATGAAAATTAATAAAATAATACTCCATATAATAATATTCCTAGATTGAGTAATTTACGGACACTCCATAAATGCATCATTAATAATGATTTTACCAAATTGCCCATATGTAATCATTTCTCCCTATTTTAGTGGAGTCGTGTCACTCCTTCCATAAATAAAATTGAAGTTAATTATGAAGACTTTTAAAAGTTTAGCCATCCTCTTAACTAGATCTAATGGTTAACATTCATTCTCATTTCTTTCGCCAAATGTCATTCTCACCTGAACCAACCTATATATATATATATATATATATATTTATATATATATATATATAGACACACACACACACAAGACGCCAGTTTCACAAGGGACTTTTTGTATGTACATACACGCACATAGGCGTTTCATCTTTAAATTGATTTTTACTAGTAGTAAAGATAGAAATGGGGTACCGTTTTGGTGGACAAGAAGGATTTTCCCCTATTCTAATCGTATTCCTTTTCATCGGTACAAACAACAATGCATTGAAAAACGTAAACAATGAACGAGAGCAAAAAGGTAATAAGCAAAATGAGATTTGCGATGTTCAACCGTTTGGTGATAGTAGTTAGTAATCCGGCTTTGCAAGAGTCACAAAAATAGCATAGTTTTCTTGGATCATTATTCCAATTGGCACAATCTGGGTTTGTTTGATTATTGCTTGGTGAGGATGATGATGATGATGATGTCCATTTTGTTGGGCTCACAAAAGTGTATCCACATTTCGAAAGCGGCATACAACACCCGGATTGCAACCAATTTAAAATTTTTTGTAATAAGTAGCCAATAAAACAAATATGACCTACAAAAAGTATACCTAGTCTTTTTTTTATGACGGTTAAGAATTCCATTCAAGTCTTAAAAAAAGCTAGCTTCATTTCTCCCTCATACTCACTCCGTTCCATTAAGCGGTTTTTATTTTGACTTTTAGGAGAAATAAGGAGTAGTTAACTTTCCAATGTTGTCCTTGATGTGATGAGTAAAAGTAAGATGTGATGGATAGATTAATTGTAAAAGAATATGATGTGATAGGTAGACTAAGAAAACATAGTAGCAAAAATAGTGTTTTTAATAGAAAGTGGAAGTATTTTTTATGGAAGTAAAAAAAATAAAAGAGAAAAAGGAATATATATATAAAATACCTGCAAGGGAGTGAGTTTTGCATTGAATAATTGTTGAGGTGAGTGGTAAGTGTGATCCAAGGGGGCACACCAATTAGAGGGTGTGAGACAATTTACGATCTGATCCCACTGGTAGAAGCGGCTAAGCCTCCGGCGATACCAAAACGAGAAGTGGTCGAGGCGATATTCCCTGTAAGCCGGCCCCTGCGGGTGGGTCGGCTGTTCTGGGGGGCCCGATGGCGAGTGCCTCGTGATGATGAAGAAGAAGATGATAAAACCAAGCATGGTCAAAAGCAACATGAAAAGTGGCAATGAAATGAATCCCCTATGGACGCCAAAGCTGGCACAGGATTGGCTTAGCCACATGCCTGCAACCATGATGGGGATGGAGAAGATCATCTGCAGGGGGTACGTACTTATTCTCAGCCCATCTAGAATAGGGTTTTCCATTGAGTTATTTATTTGTTGCGCTCAATTTTAAGCTTTGGTTTAAGGGATGGATTCCGCGGCTCAATTTTAAACTTACTGCGGACGTAATGAGTATAGTAAATTAGTAATCTCTGGAATTCCAAACCATGGGGGAGAAGCAAAAGAAAGAATAAATGTGGGCATGTGTTGCAAGACAGTGAAGACACGCAAATTAAAGATTCAACTAAGGCCAATTATTATTATTTAAACATGCAAATTAGACTAGTAATGAGCTTTTGTACTTGTTTTATTTAGCGTATTTATAGCCCTCTACTATAGTTCACTTCAAATCAAAAGTGTCTCAATGCCACATCTGCATGACTCCACTCACTATCTCACTCATTTCATACTCGCAGTCTCATTACTACTTTACTCCGATCCGTATTTTTTATTTAATACTCTCTCCGTCCCTGAGTGTTTGTCCACTTTCATTTTTGCACATCATCAAATGCACTTCTTTAATCCATTTTATTTTGTAATTTGTATATTAAAAAATTATAAAAATTATATATTAATAATCTACTCCCTCTGTCCCAAAAAGTTTGTTACGTTTAGAAAAAACTGCGTCCCGTAAAGTCCGTTACATTTCTATCAAAAAACCACTTTTACCCCTTACTTTTTCATACCCTACCTATCACATCATAACTTTTTACTAATAATCTACTCATCACATCCTACTTTTACCCATCACATCAAGAGTATTTTTTGAAAGTCAATACCAAAATATCCCTCCCTTAATTTTCCCAAAAGTCAAACCGTCCCACTCTTTTTGGGACGGAGGGAGTATATGTTAAGACGAATCAAACAAGATCACACATAACTATTTTTAGGCTTACACATTGAGAGAATTTGATAAGTCAAAGTTCTTAGATGAACAGTTCCTAAAGTCAAAAGTGGACAAACACTCAGGGACGGACCAAGTAATGCTTTCTCCTCTGAGTATTTGTCCAGTTTTGACTTTAACGGTTAATTACTTTCAACTTTTGACTTATAATTAAATAAAATATACTTCTTCTGTCCCATAAAGATATTCTCGTTTTGACTTTTAGAATATGAGACAGAGATAATTTTGTGTTAACTTTTCAAAAATACATTTGATGTGATTGATAGAAGCTAGATGTGATGTATAAATTATTATTAAAAAGGTACAATGTGATATGTAGGTTAAAAATTAGTAGTGGTAAAAATAGTTTTTTGATAGAAAAGGAAAGAATTTTAAAATAAATGACATACACGTACTTTTTTATTGATTATCAAGTAATTTTTTTAATACAATTTATTTTAAAATTAGTATAGAACTAAAAAAAAATATTTATAAGATATATAAAAATTTTAGGTAAAGATGTGATATGATCATATTATTTTGTAATATCATACATAAATACTCCGTAATACTTTTAAAAAACTAATTTGATTATAATACTTCCTCCGTTCTAAAAAACAATTTTTATTTTGACCAAGTGTAAAAATAATTGAAAGTGTTAAATTGTAGTTGACTTCCAATTTTGCCCTTGGTGTGATGGGTAAAAGTAAGATGTGATGGATAAGTTATTAGAGAAAATGTATGATGTGATAGATTAGGTATTAAAACAAAGAGGTAAAAGTGAGTTTTTAATAGAAAATGGAAGTATTTTGGTGGAAGTAGAAAAAATAAAAGAGGGAAGTGTCTTTAACAACTAATCGTGATATGTAATTTGTTTTAAAGCAGGCCTTACATCTACTACCTCCGTCCCGTGAAACATGGGACATTTAAGGGAGTGTATTTTGGTATTGAATTTCCAAAAATGTCCTTTGATGTGATAGGTAAAAGTATGATTTGATGGATAGATTATTAGTAAAAAGGTATGATGTGATAGTTAGGGTATGAAAAGTAAGGGGTAAAAATGACTTTTTAATAGAAATGGGAAATGTTTTGTAAGACGGATAAAAAAAGAAACGGGAAAGGTTTCACTGGAGGGAGGGAGTAATAAATAGCTCTTCCCTTTCCCTTATACATCGTTCCTCATACATGAGTCCCAGCCGGCAGCTCGCTGAACCCTCAGCTTACAGTCTGCTTCACTAATCTATTGAATCCCATCTTTCGATGAAGAAGAGAATTCGATTGAAGCCATGAACTCTCGAGCCACCGTCCTTTCCATGACCTGGCCTGTGATTAGGTTAGCTTCTTGATTTAATGCATTAGTACTTGAAATTGATTTATTAGTTCTAAAACTCTGTTCGAGTGATTAAGTTTTTTTACTTTTTGCCTCCGTATAATTTTGATATCAGAGTATGTAGTATATTAGGGTGAATTTATTTCAGATTTGCATCTATTTGATGAAGCTATTTTAGAATTTGTTTTTTCATTTTTAAAAAAAAAAACAAAAGGAATACAAGATTGCTATAACATCATATTTGCTTTTTCAATATTAGTCAAACAATGATTTTTTTTGTATTCGTCGATGTACTTATTCATTTCGATTTCCAGCTTGCTTATGATTCAAGAACACTTTTTTCGAAATGTTGCCTTTCTCTGTAGTGAATGGATCTTTGATCACTAAAAGTCTAAAATCATCTAAAGGATGTCTGCAAAGTCTTCGTATGCCAATAATATAGATTCAAGTTCAAACAGGGGTTGTTTTGAGTTTAAAGATGAAGACTTTAGTGGTGCTATACTTATAGAAGATCATGCCTAATGAGAAACATCCTGAGATTTGTTTAAGAGATCCAAAACTTTCATTGATTTATAAATTCTAGTTCATTCTTTGAAAGAAGCAAAGGAGACACGAAGTTCATCTATAGATCGATTACTTTATAAGTTTTAGTTCAAACTAGTTATTACTTCCGCTCCATGTAGGTTTGGATACTTAACCAGTTAATGCTACAAATTAAAACAATTTATTCAGTTGTAGGCATTCGAGTATTAAGTAAAATGAAAAAGATTTACAAATTTTATTGTCAGAACGATTCACAAGAAGTTTTATTATGAAGGAAAGGTTGATAAGCAGTTTAGTTTTGTTTGCAAGTTTTGATGGCCAATCTCTCTTGCAGGTCTAAAGTTGTTTCAGTTAGTTTGTGTAGTTACCTAGTACATATTGGCACATATTTTCATGACCAATCTCTTTTGTAAGTCTAAAAGCTCATCTTGTGACATTATGTGAAGCAACTTGATCATGATAGCATTGCAGACCTTTGTAGTGATTTGAGTTCAATAAATGAAACCAAATTTGAAAGAGATCTGCAGGAGTGTGCAAATCATGCTTTTAGTCTCAGCTGTGTGTTGGAATGCTTAACATAAGGCAGGGTTTAGACTATTTTAGTTAAGAATAATGTTCTATCTTCTACCAACTATAAAACAACAACCTCCATGATGGGAACTAAATCATCTCCCACAACAACGAATTTGACTATTGAACTTCACTCTTTGTACTAGGGTTGTAGCTTTTTTTTGTACTTAAAAGTTATTATTATTTTCTTATATAGAATATTAAAATTTATTGCTATTGATTATCATTATTTAATTTGGATCAGGTACACTCAAGCATTCTCGAAATCGTCAACAAAGGAAACAAAAATCATCGAAAAAGAGAAATGCCAAATCAAAGAAAAAGAAATGACCTACTTCAGGAAGGATCATAACCTTGGTAGCTGGTGTTTATACTTGTTTCTGTTGGCATATTTCGTGTGATTTATGTTTTAAATCCTTGAGATTCTAGGCTGCAGCTTCCAATATCCGCGGTGCAAAGTGTGGATGACTGCAGAGTTTGGCCCATGGCTGTAACCACAGACTGGTGTAGTCTTTTGGCATTGATCTAAATTTATGGACATAGGATCTTGGTTTTCTAGCTTGTTGGTTCTAGGCATTGGAATCTTTGTTTTCTGTTGTTTGCTTTAGCTAGTAACTTTAGGCTTTCTCTCTTGTAAAGTTAGGATTTTTATAGTGCTTTACCTCTTATGGTTAAGACTTAAGAGTCTGGATTTCAACATTAGTACTACTATGCAGCCTATGCCTATGCTTGGGTTACTTGTTTTCTTCCCGAGGGGCTTTGGTTAGATCCTCCCCTCTTGTTTTCTCTTTTGTTTTCTATAATAAACTCTTTTTCTTTAACAAGATAAATTGTTTTCACTGTGTGTGTGCGCGCGCTTGTGTGCGTGTGCGCGCGTGTGCATGTGTGTGTGTGTGTGCGCATGTGTGTGTGTGCGTGCGTGCGTGTATGTATGTTTAATCATAAAAAGTATGATTTTTCATCATAAAAAGAGCATTTTGCTGAAAGTAAAAATACTCTCATTAAATAATACTCCCTCTGTCTCATAAAGATGGATATGTTTTGACTAAAGTAGAAATTAAGGGAAAGATAATTTTGTGTTGATTTTTCAAAAATATCCTTGATGTGATAGGTAAAAGTATGATGTGATATGTAGGTTATTAAGAAAAAGGTATGATGTGATAAGTAGGGTTTGAAAAAGTAAGGGGTAAAAGTGGTTTTTTAATAGAAATGGGTAAGGGATTGTGGGACGTAATGTTTTTGAAACATGTAAATCTTTTTGGGACGGGGTGAGTATTAATGAGAGGACTTGTAATCCGTCATTATATGTAATTAACTATGGAGGCTATAGTGACTGTTGATGAGAGTAAATTTTCTCTCATTAAAATGTACTAATGACGGTATTCTTCACTTTAACTATGATTTATACTCACATTAAAGAGAATTTTTCTTGTAGTGAAGATATTTATGTTTTTAATTATGGTTCAATCATCATAATCAACAATCAATAGCAACTTCATATTATTTCATAACAAATAGCAGCCTAGCATCGAGTGTTAACACCCTAATTTATCGTTATGTATCACACAAGGTTCTTGAATTTGTCAAAACATCATATTCGGTTGTAAATGTTATTTAAATTGATTTATAACTAAATGGAATCAAAAATATGATTTTACAGTTCAAAGTTAGGTTTGTGGAAAAGTTTCCAATTCAGACATTATTCGTTACGGTACCTCGGTGCACACGGTACCTCGGTACCATCTAGATGGTATGGGGTACCACTTGTGGTTGGTACCATAGAGAAACTTGGTTGAGATGGTAGCTAGCTACTGGTATTGACGGTATGGCATACCATTCCATTGGTACCTTGGTACCGTCTAGGCGGTAGTTCGATACCGTGCATGCACAAGGTTTGAACAGTGTCATCTTCAACCTCAGGCCAAATTTTGAGAACTTCATTTTTAGTCATCAAACTTTAATTAAATTGTATAGAAATATTCTCTAAAGTTCATAGATTATTGGTTCTTCAAGCATGTCAAACACGAAATTTAACCAAACGACCGTTTATGAACGTAGAACGATTTATATGAACATTCTAATTATTTGATATACCTAAGGGCTTACCTTGGGCTAAATTGAAGCTTTCAGAAATTCTGGCAAAACTTCCAACGAGGATTGCTATCTACTCTAACGACCTCACAACCTCTGGATAGCACCACTGCACTCTTTACACTCCAAGGAATAGAATAGAAGAAGAAATGAGAGATTTTGGTGAAGTAATGGAGAAATGGGTTCTCCTTATATAGAAGGAAGAAGAAGGAAGGTGACAAACTTGTGACGATCGATTGGCGGAAGTGCGCAGGACGGCAATTCAGTCTGATTTACACGACTCCCCTGATTGGGACTAATTTGGTCCTAATCAGGGTATACTTTTTGGTCTAGCTTTCTCTGAATTAAAATCCTATTTCACCATTGCGATCAGACAACCAAATTCTACACAACGATATAATTTTCACAATTAATTGACAAATTTTGTAAATCACTTATTGTTAAATCCTTCTCAGTAATTAATTTATTATTAATTAATTCTGATAGGCATATTTCAAGGCGTTAGAAATGCAGCTTTCCAATTTTTCGATCTCGCAAATGAATTTTTTAACAAAGAGACAAGGGATAAAGAACGATGAGAACATGATATGTGTCAATCGACCGTTGATGATGAAGACTGGTGGTGACGCACGATCTTAAAAGAGAACTTAGTTGTGATACTATGATACAATTTAATAAGACACACACACCAATTTCACAAGGGACTCCTTATACGTACATGCATGCACATAGGTGCGCGTTTCATCTTTATATTCATTTTCACTAAAGATAGAAATGGGGTACACTTTTGGTGGACAAGAGGGATTTTACCATATTTTAATTGAATTCCTCTTGGTGGGTACAAAAGAAAATGCAGTGAAAAACATAAACAATGAATGACAGCAGAAAGGTAATAAGCAAAATGAGATTTGCGGTGTTCAACCGTTTGGTGATAGTTGTTAGTAATCCGGCTTTGCAAGAGTCACAAAAATAGCATAGTTTTCTTGGATCATTATTCCAGTTGGCACAATCTGGGTTTGTTTGATTATTGCTCGGTGAGGATGAGGATGATGAAGTCCATTTTGTTGGGCTCACAAAAGTGTATCCACATTTCGAAGGCGGCATACAACACCCGGACTGCAACCAATATAAATATATTTGTAATAAGAAGCCAATAAAACAAATATGACTTACAAAAAATATACCTAATCTTTTTTTCATAAAAAAACTAGCTTCATTTTTGTCTCATACTCACACTGTTTTATAAAACGATTCTTATTTTGACTTTTAAGAGAATAAATAGTAGTTGACTTGAAGTTTGCTTTACATATGATGGGTAAAAGTAAGATGCGATGATGATTAGTAACGAAAAAATATGATGTGATAGATAGGGCAAAAGAAAGTAGAGATAACAATGATTTTTTTTTAATAGGAAGTGGAAGTATCTTGGGGAAAACAAAAAAAATGAAAGGAGAAAGAGTATAAAAATACCTGCAAGGGGGTGAGTTTTGCATTGAATAATTGTTGAGATGAGTGGTAAGTGTGATCCAAGGGAGCACACCAATTAGAGGGTGTGAGACAATTTACGATCTGATCCCACTGGTAGAAGCCGCTAAGCCTCCGGCGATACCAGAACGAGAAGTCGTGGAGGTGGTATTCCGGCCTGAAAGCCGGCCCCGGCGGGTGGTTTGCCTGTTCCGGGGGGACCGATGACGAGTGCCTTGTGATGACGAACAAGAAGATGATAAAACCAAGCATGGCCAAAAGCAGACAAAGCATAGAGAGAAAGTAGGCGAAAAGAAGCCCATCACTCCTGCAGGACATTCCCAAGCAGCCAAAGATGCCAAGGAGGAACATGAAAAGTGCCAAAAAAATGAATCCCCCATGGATGCCAAAGTTGGCACAGGATTGGCTTAGCCAAATGCCTGCAGCCATGATGGGGATGGAGAAGATCATCTGCAGGAGGTATGTACTTCTTCTGAGCCAATCTGGAATTTCCATTTTTTAATTTGAGTTATTTATTTTCTGCGCTCAATTTGAGGTTTGGTTTAAGGGATGGGATGGATTCCGTGGGTTAAATAATAATTGTAGCCAATTTACTTCCGTGGGTTAGTAATTCCACTAATTCGAAGCCATAGCGGAGAAGCAAACGAAAGAATAAATGTGGGCATGCATTGGAAGACACGCTAATTAAAGATTCAAATTAGACGAGGAATGANCTTTTTTTTTTTTTTTTTTTGCGTATTTGTACTTTGTAGCGCTCTACTAACTCCAAATCAATTGTGTCGCAGCCCCACATCGGGAGTGACTGTACTCACTATTTCACTCAATTCACACCCGTAGGGTCATTACTCTTTTTTTATTTATTTAATACTATCTACTTTCCTGAATATTTGTCTAGTTTTGATGACTTTTTTCGGTCAATTATTTTCAACATTTGGCCTATAATTAAATAAAATATACTTCGTCCGTCTCATAAAGGTGTTCCCGTTTTGACTTTTAGAAAATATAAGGGGGGGATAATTTTGTGTTACTTTCCAAAAATACCCATTATGCGATGGATAGAAGTTGGATGTAATGCGTAGATCATTATTAAAAAGGTAGGATGTGATATGTAAGTTAAGAATCAATAGGGGTAAAAGTGGTTTTTTGATAGAAAATGAAAGTATTTTTGTGAGACAAGAAAAAAGAAAGGGGAAAGAGTTTTTGGGACGGGTCGTATATTTTATACTCCCTCCGTCCCACAACCCTTCTTGTTTGAAAAAAGGCGCGCCTTTAAAACGAGTAATTCTGGTATTATTTTCTAATAATGACTCATCTATCCTGCATATCTCATCCTACTCTATAATAAAGTAAGAGCAAAATTAGAAAATAACTACTAGTATAAAATTACTCATTTAAGGGTGCCTTTTTTAAAAAAAGGAAGGATTTTATGGGACGGGGGGATTATTAATTAGATAAAATAAATTTCAAAAATATTTTATATAATAAATCAAATAAAAGTATGTTTGCATCAATATCTAATATCATTTTATTTAGTTTGAGGCCAAAGTCTACCAATTTTACCAAAACAAATAAAAAACAGACAAATACTCAAGGACTAATGGAGTATTTACCTATTTCTACTCAAATTAAAAATTCTCTCTTTTAAAAAAGATTTTTTATATTTGGGTTTATTAAAACACAGATACAAACTACACTAATTAAAAAGAGTACATGAAAGAAAAAAAAGGATACCAAACGAAAAACAAAAAACATAAGGGAGAAAGCCCAAAGTAGGACTAAAACATTGAAGATATACCAAAATAGGACTTCCATGTTTTTATTAGCGAAATAGGACTTACATTACCAAACATGGTCATATACATTACCAAGAAATTAAAGTATATTAATTTGCACATGTACACTGCCACATAACCACAGTGCAAAGTCACATTACCACAATGCAAAGTCCTATTCTGGGAAAAAAAACATGAAAGTCCTATTTTGGTACTTTCCTCTATGTTTTACTCCTATATAGGATGATTTCTAAAAACATAAAGTAGTTTAACTTAAAAGAAAAATATAAATGAAACATAATTTATACTTAAAACACGTTTCGTCAAAAAACTAGTAATAAGACATAGTTATTTCAATGCAAAAGTGTTTGAGCGAAAATATAAGTGAGAAACAATATCAAAATTTTATATGCAATATTCATATAGTTGGGTAGATTTTGTCAAACAACATATTATTTACCTGGAGTATTATG